AGAAAGAGGTGTTTTGGGGACCTCCCCCCCCCCCCCCGTTCTAGTTGAGCTAGTATAACCCAAGAGGAAAGGTGCCGCTTGCTACTGTTATTGCCAGTTGCCATTCTACTGTTATTGCCAGCCATCATGTCTTGTGTCGTTATTAAACAAACAGATGACGGAAGTACAACAGAGCACGAAAGCAACGCATTCTAGCCGTACGTAATCAACTCTTCTCATGCGTAGCAAGGTTACTCGCCCCGCAAACGAGCATTTGCTCCGGAGCAAATTTTTAACCATGTAGCATTGACACGTACCATTTTACATCTGTGCTGCCCCGCAAACGAGCATTTGCTCCGGAGCAAATTTTTAAACCACCTCCCTGAGATGGGTTAAATTTGCTCCGCAGTAAGCTGTTTTCAGGGGCTACACCGGTGTAACGTTGCACGTGTGAACGCTCTACTGGGGTAGCCCCGGCGCAGCACCGGAGCAAATGTTGCCGTGTGAACACCCCTACTGACAGATTTGTCAGGGAGCACCCTCATTTGAAGGTCGCTCGACCCAGAGTGGGTACATTTCATGAAGGTGCGTCAGTGACACACTTAAGTCGATGGGAGATTCTGTGCAACCCAAAAAGTGTATAGGAGTCTTTTCTGACTCAAGCACATGGGAGAATATGCCCCTTAGTGCACATAGAAAGAATTTATAGAAGAAATTATTCAGTTAATGGGATGTCAACATGTCAATGTTGGTGTGTGAATCAGTGTCTTAAATGTATCACATTGTGCTCACAAACCTCATCTGTGTTCTTCCTTTGCACTTCATTATCTGCAAGTCCATTTGTGTCGATAGACAAATGGTTGGTCGACAAGCATGGTGCCGAACCATCAGCATGAGACGCCACATGCACAAAACCATTGGGATTCTCTGTAAAACAATGAAAACAAGTACATTCAGATAGGGCTAGACGATTAATCACAACGTAATCGTGATTTCAATTTTATCTTCTGTTGATCTTGAAAACATTACAATAGAAGAAAAACGATTAATGGAGCAAGTCTTAAGATAGTTGAGGGCCTGATTATGGAGGGCTTTATGGGTGAGTATGAGAATTTGAGGCAGCAAGGGAACGGAAACCAGTGAAGGTTCTGGAGACAGGGGTGATGCAGTCACGGGAAGCGATATGGCGGGTGGCAGAGTTTGGTGTAAGATTAAAGATTGAAGATGTTACAGTAAGAGGCTGTTGCAGTCATCAACGTGTGTGTTGGGAGAAGGTGAGATTGTTCTACGTGTTAACTCCAAAATTCAGACAGTGAGGTGATGGTGAGAGGGTGGACTTATCAAAAGAGCTGAAAGTTTAGGGCTAGTGAGGTGAGGGGTTTGGGACCTATTATAATCATGTCAGATTTGGTAAAGTTAAGTTTGTGAACATTATTAAGCATCCAGGAGCTGATATCAGAAAGGCAGTTTGAGAGAGTGGAGTGGGCCTGATGGTCAATGGATTTGGCAGATAAGTAGAGTTGGCTGTCATCCGCCTAACAGTGAAAGCGGAGGCTACAGCCATGGATAAGCTGACTGAGGTGGAGGAGGTAGAGGATGAACAGGAGAAGACCAAATACCGAGCCCTGAGGGACATCTTGGGACAAGCGGTCAATGGAAGAGGAGCATTTATTGATGGAAATTGATTTGTACATTGTTTCCTCTCTGTAAGGTATGATGTCAGCCATGTGAGGACGACACCTGTGATGCGGATAATTATTAATTGTATCAAGAGCGGCAGAGAGGTCGAGGAGGATGCAGATGAAAAGTAGGCCCGAGTCAGAGGAGAGGAGGAGATCATTGGTGACTTTGAAGAAGGGCAGTTTTGGCACTATGGTGAGTATGAAGCCAGATTGAAATTGTTCGTAAAGGGCATTGTTGGTGAGATGGGTCTTGATTTGGGAAGCAACAACACGTTCAAGGACCTACGAAAGAAAGTGAAGGTTTGAAATGGGCCGAAAGGGGTCAGTGCGGAAAGGCAGTTGTAAATGGAGTCGATTTTGGATTGGAAGAACAGGAGCAGAGAATTGCATTAAACACCAGTGAATGAATTAGGGGTGTTATCACAAGGGTTGATGAGTTTCCTCACGGTGGAAAAAATGATTTTTTTAGTCATTGGAGCCTGTGTGGATAAGTTTTGAGTAATAGGTAGAGCATGCGTGGATGAAGACGGATTTGTAAAGTTGAAGATGGTCAATAGGTGAACTGTGAATCTTTTTTTTTTTTTCAAACAAGGTCTTTCAAGTCGCCGTTTTCTGGATTTTAAGTGGTTAATGTCAGGAGTGAACCAGGTGGCTGATCGTGTAAAAGAAACAGTGGTTGGTTTTTCAGGAGGCTAACTGATCAAAGCAAGTGGAGAGCGAGTTGTTATAGTGATAGATAAGAGTGGATCCACCGAGTTGGTTGAAGGAGGGGGTGGGGTCGGGGGCGCAGCGAAGGGGGCCCTGAGTGTGGCTGTGAAACTTTGGGGCTTCATGGATGCAACGTTTCAGAAGGATATTACACATGTTGTTTTTAGAATTGGGATGGGAAAGTGGTTCTATCCAATTCTAGCCGGTGATCTGAAAGCGGATGGATTTACAAGGTTATTTTGTAATCAACAACAAGAATAGCGTTTTCAAGAATCGTGTTCAATGTGCAGGAATGAATCAGCAGCATAGTTTTAGCAGCTGAATTAATGCCAAGTTTTGAAATCAATGGTAAATCGTTTTAATAATAGTGATTTCAATCTCAATCACAATAATGGTGATGATCATCTTTTTTTCATAATCGGCCAGCCCTACATTGAGAAGACCAAGCTAAATTACACAATAATGTGCCGTTCCAAAGGTTTGATGCAAACACATGACCATAAAACCTATAATGCATTTTTGTTGGCACGAGAGGTTAAATTAACCTGAATGTAAATGTATTCTTTTTCAGACATTGCGATGAGTTGTCAATTAAATGTTATATCCCACCTTTTTTCCCTTGCACTGACATCACCATGTCCTGAACTTTCTTGTACCTCATCAATGACTGCTTCAGTTCCTCAATCTTATGGTCCTGCAAACAACAGCTTGGTCAGTAAACACAAAGGATAAAGAGCATCATGTATTTTCCTTCAAGGCAAACGAAGGCAATTGATGGCAACAACTGTATACCTTCTGCTCATTGGCCTCCATCAATGATTCAACTGCTTTCTTCATCCGCTGTACTTCCACATCTAGTGAGTAACAACAGTCGTTATTAGACAGGTGAAAGTTTTTGAATGGGGTAATCGGATGTAACACAGAGGTCGAAATTATACGACTTCAAAATCGACAGAAAAAAACAACAGACCTCATCAGTGATTTTGCGTTACTTTTTAAGGTTCATTTTAGTACATAAAATATTTTTGGGATGCACCCGCAAATCTGTATACTCTAGATCAGGGGTGGCCAACCAGTCAGAGACTAAGAGCCAATTTTTTTACCGTGTTACTGCAAAGAACCACATCATACCCTTCCTCGCATGCGCGCGCGCACACGCAGATACGCGCGCGCGCGCGCACGCACACACACACACACACACACACACACACACACACACGCACACGCACGCATGCGCACGCACACGCACACACGCACACGGGTGCCCACCCGTACACTCGCGCACATATGCACGCACGCCACGATGAGCAACAGTCGGAACAGGCCGAAAATGAACGAAAGCTAAAGACACAAACAAACAAATCTTTTTTTCCCACCCCTTGCGGTCGACTTGGGACCAGTTCGCTGGCTCCTGGTCGATTGCGATCGACGTATTGGGCACCCCTGCCTTAAAATCAGAAGTAATTCGCTGACTAACTTCGCGCTTAGCACCATTGTTTGCGCATGAGCGTAGATGTAGTCATCTGATTGGTTTCCCTCTATGTCAATCAAGTAACGGGATTGATGATAGGCTGACGTAGTACGTTCTGTGTATTTAGCGCCTTTGTTTGAATGGCATCGCCACTGCCGAGGCGTTTTTTACACTTGTCGTGTGAAAGCCCGGGAGCCGCATTGAACCAGCCAAAAAGCTGCATGCGGCTCGCGAGCCGCGGTTTGGCCACCCCTGCTCTAGGTGTATCATTGGGCAAGTTATCATGTTCAAGACATTCAAAAATATGAAAACAAAAGTCAATAAGCAGATCAATTCCAATGTGTGTTTCCTTCATGCGATTGAATGGGATATGGACACATTCAAACAATGTCACACACGACTGAACACGACAGCAACATTGGTTAGCAGGACACACACTGGTCACTGGTGTGAGCAAGAAGTGTTTAGAGGAGTTACAGGGGAGGGGGGGAGGGGTCTTCAGGGCTACAGGGGTTGAGGCAGAGGCTATGAGTGAACAGCCTGAAAGGTTGCAAACACATTTCATTCCTCATTCTTGTCAAAAACACAAAGCACACAGGCCTTGTTGCTTTACCAGCTGAAATGTTAAAAACACACTGTGATGGACTTGGATGATGTTGGTTTTTAGATCCTTAGAAGCTGTGTAAAAACAACATTGTTTATCGGAGTTGTGATGTTCTCAGGGCACATATTAGCGCTCTGATGGGCAAATACAGTAATGGACAAGCAGAGTTCGCATGGCTCATGCTCGTTCATGCAAACAGAGGTCAGACGGGTGCAGTAATGAACAGAAGCACAAACCCTCTTACGTTTTTCTTTCAGCCTCTTTCTAAGAGTTTCATCTGGATGAGAGAGTAAAGAGGAACAAAATGGGGAAAACAAAACAAGAGACTGCAGTCAGTCGTGACTTCTACTATCAAAAAGGGCCCCATTGCTTTGGCGATTCAACGACCTTGCAACCACTGTAAACGTCATGCACGCTCACATTCAGACTAAACCAGGTTTCCCACCTTTTTCTGTCGGATCTGCACTGTTTGAGGCGATGGCTTTGAAGCCTGACTCATCTTGTAGTCTGCCCTTCTCTCCGTCTTTGCCCTCCAGCTGCCTTCTCAGTATGACGAGCTCCTCCTGTCGAACGCAAGGCACGTGTGATGACATATTCTTCTCAAAGACACGAGGATACCCGGTATAACTTCACACAACAAAGCACAACACAAAAAGTTTCACAGATGCTGATGTGGCTGACAGGCAAGCAAACCACACCTAGGGTGCGTCTCTACATTCTAATTTGCGAACCTCTTCGCTCCTTTATGCTTCGGCGCAGACCCGGTAGACATTTTGATGCCACAATACTATGAAGAATCACAACTGTCTTATCTGTAGTGAGGATTGAGGAGGCTCCACAGAGGTGCTATAACTGTGAATATATGAATGTATATTCTTTTAGGAAGTATTTTAGCTCTTTGCCAGTGATGTTTAAAAATAAACCAGCTGGATTCATGACACACGTCATTTTTAACTAATGACAGCGAGGCCAGAACATCTCATAACGTCAAATATTTCTCCCTCTTTGTTCGTGGGATGACTTCTTCGATTTCTTGATGGAATCTCAGGGAGGATGAGTTTATGACCTCAGAGTAGCTTGCAAATAAGAAAAAGAGAGTCACCCCTGCTCTGAAGATAATGTTTGCGGAATGGGTGCAGTAAGCACTGAGTGGGCTCAGCTAAAAAAAAGACGAACAGCACACATCACAAACACAAATATTAGGAGTAGGAAACAGGCATGAAAAGAAATAAAAGACAGGAGGTTACGCCTGATTCTAGAATCTTCGTTTCTAGTGGCACTGTCTGTACATTCGGTTAAAGAAATTCAAACAAAGCTTAAAAACGGTCTGCAAGGCAACTGAAACTGTTTGGCATCCTTTAAAAAAACAAAAAAAACAAGGTGGAGCTGAAGGAAGGGAGAGGCCAAACCGATAATCATACAGCAGTCACAACAGTGATCCTGTGTAACGCCAACCTTCAGAGCCTGCAGTTTGTGCTCCTTCTTCTGTTTCTCATACTGCATCTGGCCCATTTTGATTTTCTGGCTAGAAAGTTTGGCCATTAAAGACTAGCAGTCGGGAGGAAGAACCAAGACAGTAAGAGAAAATGTGCAAGAAGGTAAAAGTTAAAGAGATAGACGATACAGACAGTGGTATTGGGACGCACACCTCGATTGGTAGCAAACAATCAGGTACTGAACGAAACCCTTTAGCTTTCCCTGAAGATTAATTCTTAATCTTACCAACACAAGACATTGAGACAATTATATTTGTCCAACTTTGGATGAATAGTTTGGGGAAGACCTAGCATGGTCAAAGCCTACAAAGTAAGTCATGGTTTGGTGTTTGCTGAACTTCATAGCCCTCCCCTCAAGCACAACAAATACCGCTGGGATGAATTGCAACTATCATGGCCCCTCTCGTCAAATATCATGGGCATGGTAAATGTTTTCCTGCATGAATTGACAAAAAGTCTTCCGAGAAGAAGTTGTTGTAACTGCATTGTCTACTTTCAGTCCCAGTACCTTTGTCCATATTAGGGACAGGCATTATCAAGCAATACATTGATTTCTGATCATTAAAAATTTTGTTGGAGTTTCGTGGGTATATCAAAGATTTGCTGGAATAAGATTTTGCCATTTGAAGTAAATGAAAAAAGTTTTAAAAAGAGGAAATTATGTTTCAATGCCAAACCGCAAACAATGTAGCGTACTTATTTGAATTAGTAATTGCATAATAGAACAATTAAAATAACAAAACACTGCTGTTTGATGGTCTACACATCAACTGGCTTCCTCAAAGCAATGGCTTCTATTTGCTGTGCGCCAATTCTTGCCATATGGAAACCCAAACGTTACTTGTTAAGACTTAAATTTCAGTTCAGAATATATGAAATAAATAACAGTCATTTTATAAATGATGCTACAATATGGAACTGTTGTGCACATGCTTGAGTGCAAGATGATATTCTGACTTCTTTCTGAAAAAGCAAGAGTAACGGTAGTTTAAGGTTATTGTAATTTGAAGTGACGGATTACAGCGGTCTAGCGTGAGCTTGTTTTTGATGAGGTTTTGTTGGACATTGGCAGGAGAGAATAGAGAAATGGTGGAGAATAATGTGCTAGCCAGCAAAAGTAAATTGGTAGCTAAGAACTGCTATTACTAAAAATTATGCGAGCATGATTTTAATAACCCACCTTTGTTGTTTTCAGTTTCTTTTCATACTGTTGCTTTTCACTCTCCAGCTCCGTTAATCTGTAACGCAGTTCATTATTCTCCAGGATTAAATCCTAAAAGAGGAAATTCAAATGATTCCTTCAAAGACCGCAAATAAGTACATTGATCAGACACAAAAATGCCGATGCACATTTCCCAGACAGATGTTCATTTCCCAGAGCAATTGTAATTAAGATCCAAAAGGTTTAAATTACAGTGCGCAACTTCAATGGAATGATACATCCAATGGCACATGAATTAATGATTCAATGGACAATTTCCAAAATGTATTTTTATAACTGCAACGGTGGCTTGGAGCTGGAAGAGTTAACTTCAGGAAGCAACTCTAATTGTGTGGATATGGCAAGGGTGATAAATTTAATTTAATTCCTTCAGCAGTGTTTATTTAATGTTAATTTATTGACCACACTAAAATCAAGAGTTACCACATTCCTTGAGTGGGGAATGTTTGGATATTCCTGAGGTCAACATGCAGCTGCTTTGAAACTCTCTAGAAGAGGCAGTTCCTCTACCACACAGGTGACAACATGAATGAATGTCTATTTAGTGTGTGTGTGCGTGCGGAGTGGGAGTGGGTGTGGGTGTAAAAAAAGACATTCATTCATTCAGTGACGGTAAAATACATGACGCAAAGTCTATTCCAGTCTGCAGCACGTGCCCTGCATACCTCACTGTCCCGAAATCGTTCATCAAAGTCGAGTCTATCTTTCTGTAAGGAATTCATTTTCAACTTGAGGTTCGACAATTCCGATACCAGCTCCAGCTTTTGGGTCTCAAGCGCAGTTCTGCACATAAGTTCCTGCAATGAAAAATGAAGACCGATATGAGAAAACTCACAATGTCAGTATTGGCAAACATTGCAGATTACATGAAAATTGTTTGTGCAAACAAACATATAGAAAAAAAAAATGAATATAATACTCGTGAATGTCTGAAAGGTGACCTGTTGTAGCATCTCTTCGGTTGTGTTGAGCTTCTCCCTGTGTTCATCCAAACACAAATCGAGGTCCCGAATCTTTTCCCCCTGAGCATCCACCTGATCCGTTAGCACACTGACCTACATGCAAGAGGACATCAGTCTCCTTCAAAAGTAATTTTGAAAGAGGATGTGTGTCTTGGTGTCACCTGGCCTTACCTGAAGCACCAGGGACTCCTTATCACTCTCAAGTCGGGTAAGTCGCTCCTGATAGTGGTCGCCCCCTCCCACAGAGAGCTGCCCATTGGACTACAAGGGCAGAAGACAGCATGTAGTAGTCAAAGAATATACTGTAGATGGATATTAAATACTGAAGTGTGAGCATATGGGACAGTTCCAACAATATCAAATGTTTTGGGATCATTTCAAAGGGCTGACAGCATAATCCTTTGCCCAACACAAACAAAACCTTACATGGCTGAAGGGAAGGCTCACATTGAGACTTCTGCATAGGGTAAGTTGCAACAAGACACAAACACTGAGGCATCTCACTGGCAGAGGGCCACCCGTTTGGCAAACACAATTTAGGACACCAAGAATCAGCATTTTTTTGTTCTTGTGACAAGAGACAACAGTTTGTGCATTCCTAAGGAGCGCCGCAAAAAGTTTCCACTGAGCAAAAAATTGGGTTGTCGCCTCCGTCAATTAATGTCTGCTTTTCTGGATGAAGCAATATTGGCAGCATAGTGTGCAAGCATGCAGAATCAAGCCAGATTTCAAAGCAACACAAACAGGCATGTAAAATAAAATTGATTCTAATACAGCACTGTGTGCTGTGTGTCTTGAACAAGGGGTACAATAACACAAATGTAGCATTAAAATACGTACCTCTAAAATGAACACATGGCATAAAGCGGTACAAGAGCTATATATATATATATATATATATATATATATATTTTTTTTTTTTATGAGAGTGAGGCTAAGCTACTGTCAAAAAAACTCTATGCCTGGTTTAGAGGCACTCACCAGGCGACCCTGGAGCCACTCGACAAGACTTTCAGCTGTGGAGTCAGGGATCTGGCAACGAAGACTGTTCCGTCCATCATTGTCCAGCAGCTCCAGAATGCCTCGAAGGTCTTCCAAAAGGTGAAGAGCCCGTAAATTGCCCATGAAAGGAGAGCTGGGTGACTGACAGTCAAACAACCCGTTGGAGTAGTCAAGAGCCTTGGATCCTAATGTAAAGAAGAAGAATAACAAAAATGTTAGAAGTGCTGGAATACAGTGAATAAGAGAAGAGCTTAAAACGAGCATTGGTAACGACGGGCAAGGAGCAGGTGAAACATTCTGTCGCTTGATTAAAAATCTGAGTTCTCTGTTGTACCTAGAGCACATCAGCTCCTCACTAGGGTAATGATGCTCGAATGGGAATGAAGCTGTCTTCATCGTGAAGGGAAGGGACGGTCTTCAAAAACATCAAAGACTAAAACTAGACCACCATCAGTGATTTATTTTGAATCAATGACACCCTATACTCTTGATAGCAAGTGAAGCTCAGTTCATCATGTACCTGTAGTAGAATCACCAAGATAAAAAGTGCATGATGGAAACTATTTCTCTAACACCACTATTATGTTTTAATGCGGTCGTAATGTTAAATCAGTTGGGACTCGACCGGCCAACTCTTTGTTCAGTGACGCACAGTACAAAGCTGAAAATGACCGCATCAATTGTGAATTTGGCTGAAGAAATAAGCCACACCGTGCAAACATAATGAGAACGCAATTTATGTTTGATTTTTGCTTTCTTAGTCATTTCTCTGGAAAAATACTGAACCTCAGCAGCGGCTTGTATCCACACATTGCTTTTCTGATAAGATAGTGATTATGCACTGACACAAACCTGCGATAATGCCATCCATCTGCTCAAGAGCAGCTGCCAACATGTCGCTGGCATCCGCCATCATCTTCAGATGCTACAAAAAACTGGAAAAAGAAAATGGAATCATATGGAATGAATGACAAATTACTCAATGGTCCCGTTATGGTACAAGAATACTGAGTGTGTTTTGCCTGTCAAGCTCCTATTTGTTTTGATCCAGTTCAGGTACATTTAGTGGTCACGTGCTGACTGAGTTCGATGGGAACAACAACAGCAAGAGAAAGGATTCTATCTTGGTGGTAACATCATCACATAACTGGGCATAAAATGAACTGTGATAAAGAGAAAAAAAACAGTGAATGAAGCCCTTGAGAATATCAATGAAACCATTGGCCTAGAATTTTGTCTCAACGATTTTCCAACCATACAACAGTAGATACTTTGTTTGCAAGGAAAGTCAAAATGCATTTTGTGGTGCCAGTCTTGAACATCGGCCAGAACAGCATAGTGGATCCCTTTCTCCTGGTTAATCAAAAGGCTTTATGACCATGCGAGGACAGCTACACTTGCACAGGCACTCAGTGACTTGTGCACACATTTCTCTCCTTACAGGGAACGTTGCAGTCATTTAACCCTAAAGTGCAGTAAATAGAAACTTCACTTGTTTACCTACTAGTTTAGTTCAAGGAGACTTCATTTTTACCTTCTAAATGTCTGACAGGCACAAACCCTCTTTATTTAAACGCCTGCCTCACATCCTGGGAGTGGCCAACACTGGACACATGTTTAAATTTGACGGAAACCACCCACAGCACTGTTATTTCAGCATTCCAGTGGGTACATTTTCCACTTCACGTAAACTAAGCATCCACTGAAACATGCGAAATGAGTGAGAGGGTTGAGAGAAGCGATGACCCGCTCAAAACAGCACAGTCACTACGTACTGAGTACCATGCTAAAGTGATGGTGTTAATGATACAATTTTTGGTGTGTCTAAGGACTTTTATCTACCTAGGCTACAATATTTAAATCCCTCGCAAAATACATCCATTTTGTTCTGTTTCATCAAACAAAATTCACATCCAGTGCTGTGAAAAAGTTTGCAGCCTTCCTGATTTTTTTAATTGCATATTCATCACACAGATGTTTCAAATCATCAAACCAAGTTTAACGACTCAAGTCAAACAAAATTCACTTCCTGATTTTTTTAATTGCATATTCATCACACAAATGTTTCAAATCATCAAACCAAGTTTAACGACTCAATAAATCATTTATTTATTTCTACTTTTATCACTGTTTAAATTACGGTTATTTTAGTGACCAATGTGGGTTGCTCTTTTATTAACATTGTGGTAACAAGGATGTCCATGTGTTAACATATGTCTGCATAACCGGTGTGTATAACGAATACAGCAGGACAACATTAAAATGAGGACAATAGAGGTGCAATGATTAAGTAAAGATGTATTGTATTGAAATGATTAATCGATGATCAAATTAATTGATAAGTATGTTTATTAATCGATTAATTGTCACATTTCAGCTTCTCAACAGCAAATATTCTCAGATTTCTGTAGTCCTCCATAAAAGCAGACTGATTCCCCCACGCCCCCCCCCCAAAAAAAAAAAACATTTGCAACCATTTGCAAACATCCTCTTTTACTTTGCGAAACAATAATCAACATTTTTGCTAATTTTCTGACAGATCTTATGGGCACAACCCGTAACTGCATCATAATTGATGTGTATCTGTGCATTTCCTGCCTTGCTAAATTGAAATATCCTACTTTTGAAGAAAGAGATGGAAATTATTTTGTCCATTAATCAGATTTTTTTTAAAATAATCGACAGATAAATCGATGATTAAAATAATCATTAATTGCAGCCCTAGAGGAGAACAACCTTGTGACATACCAATCTAATACAGTGTTTTTAGGCATAACAAGCCAAGAGAGACGGTAGCATATTTACACATGGCTTCAAGCATAAAATGCTTCCAATACAAGACCAGACATGCTGCTCAGATAAGTGTGAGCCATGCGGCTGTCACCACTAACCTTGTGTTAAGACGTGCGTGTACTCATCATCGTGTGTAGTGCAGGGACCTCGGCTCAAAGAAAGCTTAATTACAGGGAAGCCCAATTTGTCTTTAGATCCTGAAATATCTCCCCAGAACGTCAGTTCCATCATGACAAAAAGCTGCAACACAACTAGACTGCCAAGATGCAATTATGTCTTCGCAAAATAAAATCTGATGCTTAAATACAATCCAGTGGGTACCTCTAAGGTCAAACACAATCATTTCTGGGACACTGATATGCTTATGGATGAATACTTATTATCATTATTAGTATTAATAATATTGAACAAAGGAGCACGGAGGAGGATAGGAAGTTGTCTAACTAACCTGGTCTAAATGAAAATATACCATTTTGTGCAACATATCTATCAAAAGAGACATCCCAGAAAGTGCAACCATGCAAGTGTCATCCTCTAAAATAAAGTCCTACTGTCTGACCTTCTCAGAGTAGGTTCTAGAGCAGCTACAGCAGACACAAAGATAAGTTTTTGTTGCTGCTCGCAGTGTATGTGGCGGTATGCAACACGTGATAAAAACACCTGCCCTCAAACACTGAGCCAGAGTGCTTCCAAACAAACCGTGAGTCTTGCCCTGTGGTGAAAAAATCCATATAATTTATAGAGAAAAGACGAAAAGAAATAAAGGCGGTGAGGCAGTAGACCATTACAATGGCTGTTCAAATCCATCAGCTCAGGTCCCTCCAGGCAGTGAGAAGAGACACTCAAGACAACGGCAATATTCCTGCTATCCACGGGACAACAATCTGTTTTTCCTCAATCCGCGTGCGACCCAGTCTGCCTCTGTATTAAAGAGAAAAAAATGGAGAAGAAAAAAACAAAACAAAACAAAACAATAGCTTTAGGGCTTCTTGTCTGAGAGACTAATAGAAGCCATGCAACTCACTTTCACACTGAAAACAAGTAGCAGTTGTTGGACACAGACACTGAAAAAAACAATTTTTGGGAAGAGAGGAATTTTCTGGTTTACTTTCTATGTTCTTTTTAGAATTGTGGTCAAAGAGCTAAATAATAAGATCCCTCTCATAATGATGCTGGAAACAACTTTATAGTTTTTTTGCTCAAAGTATTAAACTTGTGACATACTTAAGGGCCATGCTAGGCTATTTTAAAGCGACAGTTGTCCACTAATCTTTAAGCTGTTAGTTTGATCCCTGTCACCTTGACTTCTGGCAAGGTACAATGCCCTCATTTGCTCTTGATGGACACATTGCTTCATAGAGTAGCACAACGAAAAGTCATTTGGAGAAAACATAATGGCGATGCTGTATGCATCAGCTTGGTGTTCATTAAATAGTACACGCTACGATTTTCTGCCATCACCTCACAAGTCAATGGCGCGCTGTCTTGCAGAAGGAAGTTAGATGCAAGCTGTGTACTTGCAGTGTACTTGTGGCAGCCCCTAACCAGCAGTTGCCTGCGCTGCGAATAACCTGCAGCTATTTCCAACCTAAGCAAGCAGGCAGATTACATCATCACTAATTTTACACAGCAAATCGACGAATGACATGGTGAGCTAGACGTGGATCGTAGAGGTGAATTTTAAAAAAGGAAAAGCGCAAGGCATCCATTTTATGTTAATCTGCTGGTAAAAGAAAGGAAATGGCTCCTGTTGTGATTCTGAATACCGTGTGATTAAAATCTTCTAAAATGTCTCCCGACTGTGCGTTTGCCAAACATCTTATAGTGACCGGTTCTTTACTTTGGAGACTAGGATGCATTCCTTACATTTGAACCGACTGTATTCCATTTGACTTATTTCTGGAGTTAGTTGACATTGTGCTTCATTATTCCACAGCTGCAACTGTTAGCACCATAAATCCTTGAGTGTATAAACAAAGATTCTAGTATAAGAAGATGTTAACAGCCCCAAAATGAATCGATTAATAGAAATAAGTCCTCTTTAAGCACTGTCTTTTATTTAGTAATAAATGAGAAGGGGTAATAAACTCACAGATGAGTCTCATGCATCCTTTTCAATCGTGCGACCAAGTATTTGTTTGAGACTGAGAGGATTCACTATTCAAATAAAGCACAGGAAGGTAAAAATGCGTTGCCCTCTGACATGGCCATGAATGAGGTCATGGGAAAACTATTGACGAGCACATGGCAGCTAGGTAAAGAAGCTAACATGTTTGTCTTCACTCAAAGCTCATCAGTTCGCAAGCAGATGGACCGTAACACTCAACACCAGTCAGAGATGAGCTTCAAAGCCATTTGATCACAAAGAACTATTAAATTGTGAGAGTCGCATCAAGCCAAAGCCAACAGACTAAAAACAAAGTAGTAACCTACCAAAGTAAAGCCGGTAACTGTGTTTGATAACCGGAATCAAAATTTCTGCTCAGTCATCCGCATGGCCACTGGCAATCACCTCCGACTACTTGATGCTTAAATGCAACACAGGACAAAAGTACTTGGACACCGCCAGTGTATTTTCTGCTTCGAATGTGAGTCCACTTCCAAATACCAACCTAGTTTTCTTTCAGCACCACCATAATCCTTTGAGGAAAATGTATCGCAGGAAGAGTCACAAAACAACACAAAACCAGAGTTAATCCCTTGTTGCTGGCTGAAATTAGGTCTGCTGAGGTGCATAAACGGATTGCACCGTGTGATTACATCATGTGGGATGATGGCTTAAATGTTTGTTTACTGTAAAGCATATTTTTCCAAAATTTGAATCAGATTTATTGCAGGAGGGAAACTTATTAAAAAAAAAAAAAAAAGCAGCAGCCCCCGAGGACCAGAATTTGAAAAAGTGTGATCCCTACGAATGGCCATTTGAGCATATCTAGTTTTGGGTTTTTTTTTTAAACGCGCAAAAACTGTCGTGTGATGCATTCGTGTAATCAACTGCTACAGAGAAGTGGGGGCTGGCGGTCAGGGACCAAGTTTTACCCATCAACTGTAAGCCGTCGTCCGTGAGAGTATATGAGCGATGCTTGTTTTTAATATACTGTAGTTCATGTAGCACATAGCATAAAAGGTTCTGTTTTCTTACAAAAACTGTTCCATTTTAAGAACATTTCCAAGCTCCTCCCTTCACTGACTTTGCTGATGCTGATAAACTAATGAACACGTTTTTGTTTCCTTCAGGCTTGACTACCCCAACAGCTTGCTCATTGGTAAAAAAAATAAATAAATAAATAATAAAAAAATAATCTTCAAAAACTTCAGTTCATCCAGAACAGTTTTGCCGGTATTTTCATGAAAATCCGCAAAAATGAACACAACATTCCTGCTCTTCAGATTATCCACTGGCTTCCCATCACTTCCAGAATCCACTACAAAATTGCACTCCTCACCCACCCCTGCATCCATGGCAACACGCCAGTCGACCTCAAAGACCTCCTCACCCATCACACCACCAACCTTCTCCTTCAGCCCTAAACAAATCACCGGACCATGGGAGACCGGGCCTTCCTCTTTGCGGCCCTCCTGCATCTGGAATGCCCTTCTTGAGCATCAGAGAAATCCTATATCTCGGGATTCTTTTAAAAAGGACCTGAATACTTTTTTGTTCACGCTCGGCTTTCCATACTGCTCCTAATGTGCTTTTATTATTTCTGATTTTATTGTTTTGGCACTTTTATTGACCGTCTGATTTTTGTAGCACTTTGATATTTGCCTCATTGACAAGTGATTTATAAATTAAATGTATATTTATTAATATTATTAATAATAATGATAATAATAATAACATAATATCAACAAGGAGCTGAATCAACCAATATATTTCCACTTCAATGCCCGTGTCTGTCTGTCTGTCTGTCTGTCTGTCTGTCTGTCTGTCTGTCTGTCTCTCTGTCTCTCTCTCTCTCTCTCTCTCCTCTTTCTCTTTCTCTCTCTCTCTCTCTCTCTCTCTCTCGCTCTCTCTCTCTCATGACCTGTTGATGACACTGACATTGTGCTCAGTGGCCCCTTCACTCTGAACCTCTTGTTTGAAGGCTGGCAATGGCGAGGAATTGTTGATCGGTTGTGAGGTGTCAAAATATGAACCACATGATGATGGGGGGACAGTTTGAATACCAACTGGAATCGAACCGAGAAATGTACTGGTCCATTCATGAACCTGTTGTGAATTTTGCTGTCAAGCTCCTTGCTAGAAACAAGTTGAGCAAAAAGTACTAAACCACACAAAAGTTGCACATTCAAACGTTTAGAGGTCAATTTAAGTTCACCAGAAATTTCATCCGAAAGCCAAATATCTATAACCTTTGTGTGAGTACCATGTATACGCTATATGCAGTGAGGATAAGCGGCATAGAAAATGAATGCATGGCTATACCCAACCGCAGGGAAATTGTTACGCGTTTCCTTCCAAATCTGCAAAATAAATAACTTATTAAAGGAAAGGCCTGAATAAATGTTTCCACATGGTCATCACCTCCACTCCAGATGTGCTGTGGAGTTAAACAAAATTAGAATCACTGGTTTGTTGACATTGCTATTGGAGCAGCTCATTCTCAGACGATTGTTTTGTCCTGGGACGCATTTGAAAAGTGATCGTTTAAAAAGGTCAGCTGCAGGGTAATAACTGGAAGGACAGCTGATCAAATGTCACTGCTTTACAAAAACCGTCTAGAGCGCAAACTCTCTTTGTTTGCGGGAATAAGTAAACACTTAAAGAAATCTCAGCAGCCTGCTTCTCTTCTCAAGCAAATGACTTGATATGTGCTTAAGAAGGTGGCTGGCAGAACCACACAAACAAGACCGCGGTGGCAGCATTTAAAACCACACACTACAATGTAATAGATACTCACCGACATTATTCTTTGTGATCTACATAACATAAGCAATGACTTTCAAATTGAATGTGTAACGTTATACACGGACAGTTAAAGGGACATTATGGCACAAACTGCGTAAATGTTAGCATCAATCAATCCATCCACGACTTTAGGAAATGTAAAATGGATTCAATCAACTCTTTGTGTTGAGTTGAATCGCCAGGCACAACCATGGTCCCGTTATTACAATCGCAGCTTCGCAGACAGTGAAAAAAGACATTCCCGTGGTGCAGCAATGTGGAAACGTGGACAAGAAACTCCGCTGTACGAGCCACGACAGCGAATTATTTCCACCAACGAAATGCGTAGATTTTTTTTAAAGTTAAGTTGGATATCTTAAATCACGATCGAGAAGGCAAAGTCACTCACCCGGACAACGGGCAAAATATTTCACTGTTGACGTTAGTAAAAGAGTTTCACTAAATCCCCAAAGTGTCGAGTGACTTGTTCGTAAACTTCTTCGTAACCACCAGTGGAGCCGTGGGTCCACATCGCTACGCCATGATGTTCCCGTCACAAGACGGCTGGAAACAGATGACGTCACAGCCGGAGAATCCCACCCTGTCGCCGCCTGGAGTCGTGCTACGTTCACGTACAGTAGTAGGAAATACTGCTAAATAAGGCAGCGATATGTACAGCGAACCGTTTATTTGTTGAAAATGTGTATTTTTTTTCAACAAAAACAAACCATCAGACAGCTTCATCTATACACAGTGTCATCATGCCTCGGCATACTTAAGATAGTTCAGGGGTGCTTAAAACATTATTGCATTGTCTTTTTAAACAAAACAAATTGTGAAACAGCGTACAGTACAGTACCATCAATGTCAGAAAAAAAATGTGAGGATGGGGCGCAGGTTGGTTGGTCGAAAATCACAAAATATTAAAATTGCACTGTGTGCATGTCGGATCTATAATGTTGCTTTTTCTCTCTGGTAGAACCCTAGTGTAAAACATTTTACATCAGTCGTTCGTTGCAGGCAAAAATATTCATACTATTAATACATATGCAATGCACTACCAACACAGAAATGAAATGCAGGCATCAATATCTCTTGTGTCTATAAATGAAAATGTATTGTATTGTACTTTACATACAGTAACTCTTAATATTTCGGAACAAATTTATTTCTAGAAATGTCAATCCAAAGTTGTTGAACAGACATAAATTCATGTCAATCATTGAGTCCCACTGCAGAGTCCCTCTTCAGGGGCCAATCCGCCCTCACTGTGCTGGGATCACATTCCAACATCTTTCTGATCCAGTCATCATCCAACGCTCCCTCTATGAACTCCTCCATACTGATGACAGCTACAGACATAACATGGATGGGCAAAGATTCAACAAAAAGAAGCAGATAAGAGGGTCATAAAGATGTTACTACATTTCCCACTCGCGTTAAACAGAAGTGAGCACACACCATTTAAAATGCCTAATAAGCCATTGCACACATTGCAGGTTGCCGTGGCTTTGTCACCGCTTTCGACATTAAACAAATTCCATACTGCAGACATTATCATCGTTACATGACGCCAGCTTCTTGTAGAATGACTCTAACCTTCCCCCACTGGTATGTGCAATACATTCATTCATTTTCCGAACCGCTTGATCCTCACTAGGGTCGCGGGGGGTGCTGGAGCCAAACCCAGCCGTCTTCGGGCAGTAGGCGGGGGACACCCTGAATTGGTTGCCAGCCAATCGCAGGGCACACAGAGACGAACAACCATCCACGCTCACATTCACACCTAGGGACAATTTAGAGTGTTCAATCAGCCTACCATGCATGTTTTTGGAATGTGGGAGGAAACCGGAGGACCCGGAGAAAACCCACGCAGGCCCGGGGAGAACATGCAAACTCCACACAGGGAGGCCGGAGCTGGATTCGAACCCGGCACCTCTGCACTGTGAAGTCGACGTGCTAACCACTGGACTACCGGGCCGCCCTGTGCAATACATAAATTTCTAAATATATAGACATATAAAATGAATGTTCTCACCATTGTTGTCTTTGTCTAATCTCAAAAATATCTGGTCAGTGCATTCTTCAGCTGTTAGGGAGTTTGGTTCTTTTAAACCTGCTGTTTCATTCATCTTATAAACAGCCTGGGAGCATGTGGAGGACACAAACAGGGTGATGTTAGGAATAACAGATTTAACATGAAAAGAAAACAATTGTATATACTCACACAGACACACACACACCTGCATAATGTTAAGCATCTCCTCCCTTATGATGGCACCATCTCCATCTTTGTCAAAGAGCTTGAAGGACCAGCGTAGCCTCTCCACTGCTGAGCCTTCAACGAGCAAGCTGATGGCCATCACATACTCCCTGAAATCTACCAAACCATCCTGGAACAAAAGGGGTTTCTTTTTTATGATAGCTTTGTGCTCACTGCACACAAGTGTGTTTAGTGTACCTCTCACCTGATTTTTGTCCAGCGTGCGGAATATCTGTTCTGCATACTCAGCTGATTCTCTGACCACTGTTCCATTGCAGAAATGCCTTTGAAACTCATGAATTGTAATGAGTCCACTTGGGCATTTATTAATAAATATTCTGCCGCAAGACCAGACAAGGAAGATACATTTCTATTCAGCAGTAGAACAGTTTTAATAGCTAATCATCATATAATATGGACATTTCTAAGAATCGAACCCCCACCCAAAAATAAACGAAATAAAAGAATATATCAATCACGTTCATGACATTTTTTCAGCTAAAAGTCACTGAGCTGTCAAGTTAAAATTGAGTAACTCAAAATCTGGCCACTGTGTGAATACGTTTAGTCTTATTACGATTCGACATGTACTGTAGCAAGAAAATTATGTGCATAAGATTTGAGAAATTATGCAAGGGCTGCAGATAACATTTTTACCAAGTTACCATATCAAGAAAAAAAAAAAAGACGGCAAGGCAGAGAGGCACCCCGGTGATGAGTAACACATTACGTTGTACCTTTCTTGCATTGATACAGTCATTGGTTTTATGAATTTTATGTTAATAATCATGTTATATATACAGTACATTCAAAAGCAAAGAGACACTACCTGGACCATTCGTAGACCTCTGTAATATAAGACTCCCCTTTCCAGTGAGACATGTTTGCGGCCTGGCCCATTCTGTGAAGCAATCAGTGTGAATTGAGCCTTCGCATCGGCACAACAAACAAATCCCAGCTTAGAACAGCCTGACTACAGTGTGTCTGAAAATTACTAAAAGCTAATCACCTCAGTGGGTCAAGTCAGCCTTTTTGCAGATAGCAGGATGGAGAAAATTCAAAATGAAACAAATGATTGCAGTGCGGATGGTCACAAAGTGTTATTCATTCTACTCTTTCAGCATGATAATACTGCGTACAAAAATGAAGTCCTTAACCAGTCAGTTTTAGCTACTCTTGTTTAAACCTTTTAGGAATAATTATTCCTAATAAAAGCAGGCAAGTATTAATTTGCTTGCTTGCCACGAGAGTGGCTGCCTTTACAGCCGCTCCTAAACTTTTTGTTCTTCTACTTTCTTCCTTTCTGCTGCTGTAAATTGGGAATTTCTCCATTGTGAGACGAATAAAGGTTTTCTTATTCTTATGAAGCTCACTGCCGCCGCGCCCATGCTTATGAACAAAATGTACAGCACCGGATTCCCCTCCGTTGTGTATCAACGTTACAGATTGACTCGTACATTGTTATATTTCCGGAGGTATGGCACGGTCCTGAGCAAATGGTCTGAAAACATGTCTGGTAAACGGAAGAAAATCTCGCTGTCTGCGAAGGCTGAAATTGTCTCTCACTTTCGAAAAGGGAGTCTTACAGACGAAGTTCAATCAAGACTACAAATTGGCAAAGTCAACGATTTCAACAATCATCCGTAATGGCAAAAAAATCATGGCAGAGTTCGAGGTCAACAGATTGAAAGATGATCATAACGGGCATCTGCCCGGTTGGCCACATGGTCAGTCCAGCCCTGCCCACCACCAATGGCCTTTGTCCTTGCCAGTCTCCATAAAGACCAGGTTTTTGGAGTCCATGACTAACAGTTGTTGGGGTTTTTTTGGGGAAAGATGAAACCTTTTGCCTGTCCCAATTCATTTTTTTTTTTATTTGTAGATAAACAATAAGGATATTCTCCTTTCAAAATATCAAAGCAAGGATGCAACTCGCGATTATTTTATTTAATCTGTTAATTAATTGAGGGATTGGAGGAAAAAGAATCCCTCCCATCATTCAAAAACAGGGCATGATATCACATTGACAGCGTAGAAAATGCACTAACATATCACAAAATAGGCAAAGACTTTGATATGTTCAAAGTCAAAACAGATATTTTACTTTATATTTTGATTCATCACAAAGATGATCGGGCTTCTTTCATGGAGGACTACATTAATTTGAGACTAGTTACCGTTGATAAGGTAAAATGTCAAGAATTTGGAGAATTTTAAAAGCTATGTAAAGGAAAGGTGACCCGGTGCTCCTGTGGTTGGCGTGTCGACCTCACAGTGCCGAGGTGCAGGGCCTGATTCCAGCTCCAGCCTCCCTGTGTGGAGTTTTCGTGTTATCCCCGTGCCTGCGTGGGTTTTCTCCGGGTACTCCGGTTTCCTCCCACATTCCAAAAACACGCATAGCAGGGTAACGGAACACTCTAAATTGTCCCTCAGTGTGAGTGCGAGCGTGGATGGTTGTTCGTCTGTGTGTGCCCTGAGATTTGCTGGCAACCAATTCAGGGTGTCCCCCTGCCGAAGACAGTTGGCATAGTCTCCAGCACTTAATGAGAAAAAAATGCACATGGGATTATCCTCGGAGTTTAGTAAACTAACATTTATTAACAAAATGACCTGGTAAGAGATGCCACACTTGTTAATTGTAGCAGCAATATGCCATAGACAAATACAGTAAAGGCTTCCTCTCGAGCCAAACATGAAAGAGTAAATGAACTCGGAGTAGCAGGACGTGGCTGATAACAGTACCATGTTTTACAAATTTCAAATTCAAGCTCAAAGTTCATGCCCAGGGGCAGTCAGTTGTGTAAATGCTAACACGAACCAGTCAATCATGACATCATATAAAAGAGCCATGCAACTGGAAAGACAACAGATATAAAATCAAAACATGATACCGAGCAAACCAAATCTATGGTGTCACTTCAACAGAGTAAGAGATAAAACATGAACCCTTCCTGCAAGGTTGACAATAATGGGAAAATGTAGCTCTACAACATTGCAAAGATTGAATTGGAGGAACGGACATGAGCGTGTCTAATTGACTAGCTTGCGTCAACAAAAAATCTGCCTAGCTCTGGATATTTGGTCAGGTACTGAATATAGAATGAGAGATCACAGCGCCTGCTTTATTTAAATCATGACTGGCAAAACATGCCACGCAGTGTCAAGAAGTCCAATGCAGAGATGCATTTGAACATCATACAAGTAGCCCTACTTTCAGTCAGCTGAGGTGTCACACAGGAAAATAAAACATCGACTGGCTTATTGCATGTCAAAGTGGAAATGTCCAAAGGCACTTTGGACAAAAGCAGGAGCGTCCATGAGTAAAGATCCGCTATCTGTGGACCCTTCGTAATATCAAGCATAGGACAAGAGACATATTAGTCGTCACAAATCACAAATAGCTGTAATGATAAAACTTTCAACAGTCCCAAAAGGATTCCAGGGTGTACAATGACAGCATGGAGACGTGGATTTACAATATATAGCTTGGCTGGTACTCAGTCTTTGGCCGTGTCAGTTTCAGTGACTGAAAAGTATACAAACAGCATGTGTGTATTTTAACATATCTCATCCTTCACCATGCACTGAAACACAAAAGGCCTTCATCTGCACACACGTCCACAAAATGCTCGATGATGATCAACGGTACAACATTTCACATATTGAAATGCAACCAAAGAAAAAGACAAAAAGTGTTGAAAAGGATTGAAACATGCCACTCTATCAAAGCGGAGGATTGGACCTGTCAGTTCCACCTTAATCTAAGTCATCAATTCCAACATCATGGTGAACGTGATGACTCCATTCTGTTCCCGCACAATTGCCCCGGTGTACGCAGCAAGGTCCATAAAAGCATGCTTGGGTGAGTGGAAGTATATGTCCTTGCCTTTAAACGCAATTGTGATAAAACGCAGCATTGTGAGCAAGCAGGACCTCTCTCGTGTCCAACATCATAGTCTCTAAAATCGCCTAGAAAGCTTTCCCAGAGTAGTTCAACGTGTTATAGCTGCAAAGGGGTTGACTTACTCCTTGTATATGTAATGGCCAGGTGTCCAAATACTTTTGCCACAATAGTGCGTACGCTTTAGTGTGTTGTAATTTGAGGCAACTTCAAACTCATGTAAAACCATCTGGTTCAACAGTTGTACAGTGAGACAGAAGTCCCCAATGTCCCACACAAGCCATTCACGTGTAGTGTGTCGTGTGCAATGTCAACCGTGGACTCAACAACATGAGGTAACTCCAACTGAAGGACTCATTCAAATGTCAGATCACAGTACAGCAAGAGAAATTGATCTGTATCGTCACAGGAAAACGGGCCATTCTTGAAACATTTATGGAATGCATGATGACTGCATAATATCGTCCCTTAAACCTCTGAATAGATGACTGCCACTGATAGAACATGAATAAAAACCTAAACGCTGCTGATTATAAAGCAGACCACAAGTATAAAACACAGTTGCACATGGGAACAAAACAGTTACATATTTCAAGTTTATGTATGGGAATAATGTCAAATGGTAAATACTGCTACAGCTGCTAAGAACTGTGTGAATATACAGTATGTTAAAAGTGGGTGGCTTTTTTCCCCACCAGTCCTGAGTATTCACCTCTTATACTATCGCACTCAAAAAATAAACTATATCGTAGCTTTAATAAGACAGATATGAGGTGATTGCTGAGTCAGTGTGTCTTAATGTCTATTTGAGTGCTATTATGAATTGCACATGTGGGTACTGCAATGATCACGAACTCACAGGGAGTTATAACGGTGACAAAAACTTCTGCTCTGAGGCAAAAGTAGGAAGGGCGAGCTTCACAAACATGGGAGTAGCATCGCTCCATTTTTAACAAAGTTCATTATAAAAAAAAAAAATTAAAAAAAAAAAATTCAGTGCGGTTTTTTGCATCACTCCCATCCTGTATTCAAGTGTAGGTGTAAATCATAAGCAGGACTCCCAAAGCACTGTTTGTTTCGACAATGTCCTTTAGACATAATGCATTTGCCGAGTGTGTGAGGTGTCACTGATGATGAACCAGTCAATAATCATTCTCCATGGCAGGCAGATTGCGGTAAGGCTTTGGAGGCACATATATATCCTCCAGAGAAAAGCCGGTGTTCCTTATCAATGGCGACACAGTTGCCGGTTAAAAAGAGTCGTTCACACAGCTTATAAAATTGATGAATAAATATAATTCATAACCTGACAGAGCATTTCTGTCACCGTCTCGCCTTTCAACTTCTGAATTCTATAAGGACCAGTGCATCTCTTCAAAGTCTTCGCCTTCACCCAGGTTGGAGTCTGTCTCCAGGAGTCTCATGATCACTGCCATAGCTGCTTCGTCATTGCTAAGACTCCCAAGGCCCGGTGCAACCACGCTGTCCAGGTCTATCTGTGAGTTGTCCCCTGCGGTGGGTTCAGAGAAACAACAAGCTTATTGAGGTGCAAAGAATTTGGATTATAAAGACCATTTCTAATGGTATGTTTACATGACAATGTTGTGAATACACAAAAGCCTCAGGTTTTAGAAAAGGTTTGCATGCTGGCGAGAACGCTGAAGACGAAACTACTGTTTACCGAGGGGGATACTGTCAAGAGAAAATGTTAACCCTTTAGTAGACAAGAGACAGAACAAGCACTTTACGATTGATAAAACAGATATAGAGACAGATATAAAATTCATTAAAAACTTTCATGGAAGTGCAACTACAACCATGCTGCTCAGAAGCATCTGCCTATTTCTTCTTAAACAAGGTCAGAAATACACACCAAAGAGGCAGGAAACATCTGGCTCATGCAACTGCTTTCGAAGGTTTGTATTTTCTGGCTCCAAAACACAGTTGTGTAAATGAATGACGATTGAGTTTAAAACTGTGTTGATAAAATGACCCCCAAAACAGGATTATAGAATGTACCCATTAGTGTCTCCCCTCCAGGAAATAGAGCTCCCTGGGGGTCTTCTTCTGAGTTGGACTTTTCGGGGATCTCCATGTCTGTCGCGTCCCCGTTTGGCACCTAGACAGTAAAAGGCATAATGGTGACATGATAAAGTGATGAATCTGAGGGAGGTAAATCTAATTTGACAAGATAGATGGTAACAACTCAAGTACAACTTTATTGTCAAATGCGCTGTATGTGCAATTTACAGCACAGATGAAATTTCTTCCCTCTCAACCAGACAACAAGAGGAGCCGCTGCGGGTGCCCACGCCGCCATCAAAAGAACAGTTCACATAAAATGACAAAAT